TTTCCTGTGTGTATTTTTATTCTCATCTTAATTGTTTGTTTATCTTTATTCACATCTGTATTGCATTTTAGTCAAAATCCTGATAAAGATACAAACGCAATAAAGATAATTATTATTTCAAAAAATAGTCTTATATTTTGGTTTCACGTGTAATGTAATGTTGACCTACAAAACACTTCGCAACTTCGCTTTGATTTGATAATACATGGTATAGTACTAAGTAGGCTCTTTTGCTGGTCATAATTTTCAGTAAAAGTGTAATTTATTAAAATAACATTAGCATTGAAAACAATGAATACCGGTAACAGTGTTATGATTGTGTTTACGTACCTGTGGGTGCCGCCGATTAACATCGGAACTAGTATCACTGCTAGTTACTGTTGTATCTGTTATCTCATATTTATCCGGCCCTCCAAACGTTCAGAAGTCTCGGAAACTGTTTCTGGGGTATCATTTTTTTTCATACATGTAGAACGAACTGATGCCCGAAGATGACCTCATTCATCAACCGCTGGCTTTTATTCACCATGCTGTTTAATTGCACACGGTCCACTTGAAGTGGTCACGTGATGAAATTTGCGACATTATTGTCGCAAAAGATTTCGCCACGAAGTAAGTAATGGGTCGTTAAGGTCAATCAGCCTCTTTACGGTAAAAACAACGCAACTACGTAATTGTTTCATTAAATTGGCAGGACAAAAATGTTGCACCCAAACTGGCGCACAGTGTTATGAATAACGCGTCAACTTTGATTTTTTTGCGCAAATTGCGCAATGGCGCAGCCTAGATCAAACACTGCTGCCCAAGGAATGGCGGTCATGACCATAATAATGATGATGCTAGAGCAGTGATATTGCCCGAATGACCATGTGTTATTTATTTATTTTATCACATCTAACAGATATCCACCATGCACAATCATGTCTACCATAAACTTACACTTATATTTGTATGCAATATATGCAATATTTTATTTTATCTATTATAACAAGTTTCACATTACTCAATAAATTAATATATGTACATTGTCTGCTGAAAAAAACTGTGAAATACACTCAGTAAATGTTATTTACAACCACGGATACTTTTTAATAACCATTCTTCAGCAGTGTACATTGTAAATCACTCAATTTATCGAGAAAAACATTTTTGAATTCTTAATGAATTGAAAAATTCTCAAACGCAAGTTATTTGATTACTCTACGGATGAGAATGTCAGAGTGCCGTGGAAGTGACTGAAATAACTTTCTCACTAAAGTACCACACCTTCTATACACAAGTCATGCAGCTTTAGATCATTTCCTCACAGCGTAGAGCGCGCCGCATCAACCCCTGCTGAGACGTTTCAGTGGCGACTTTGCTGTACATTTTTGTTTCATGTACCCTAATATCAAAACAGAGTATCTTACTTAATATCCATTCTGGCACTTTTGCTGTCTATTTTGGATGGCTGAAGTTCCTTTAAAACCTTGAAAGCAGCCGCGAAAACAACACCGGCAGGGGCAGCACCAGTGCAGTGAACGATATTTTGTTATGCGCAGTATCATTGCAGTAGTTTCAGTGACGTCATCTATATGATATACCCATGTAATATCTATTTTTATTCATGTGACTGAGTATGTATACCACATTGTCCTAATATATTCTTGTTATACATTCTGCGCAAATCAATATACTGTATATGACCAGATTTGTGGTGTGGCCATGATCGTGAAGATTTTATTCAGGGCTCCTATTGGAGTAAGGCTGTAATCTCATGTATTCCATGCAAACTCTGCACAAATATACATGAACACTAATTGAGTTTCTTAAAATGTGCATTTGATGGGAAGTGCCGCGCATGTGCAAAATTTGTGTTGATAAACATTGTTTTTCCAACAATCCAGTGCGCTTTTCTAATGAAATCACAAGTACATGTACTAGTATGAATTTTGTTCTGGGCCCCACTGGTACTAATTACCATGACGACTCCTTTGACTCCTTAAAATCACTAAAAAATATCAAATTAACCTCACAGTTTGTACTTGTTGGTGTGCGCAACAATCAAAAAGCGAGACCCATATCTCTTGCATAGGTGATGTGACGACCACTGCACTTTAAGTCACCCCCCACCCAAACCTAAACTACCACAGCACCCCCAATGTAATTGTATATGCCCTTTCATATAACTATATATGCCCTGTACAGGGGGCATATACAATTAAAATGGGGGGGGGGCACTGTTAGCAAAGTTAGGATTAGAGTTAAGGGTGAGGCGCCCAAAAAAACCCTTACTAAAAATGTTGACGATACTAGGCATCTGGGTGTCAAATGTACACAATATGATTCAATAATATACAAAATTATGACAATGACATGGTTTGTGATAATATACTTGTATAATAGACGTGATGTATTCATTATTATGTACGTTGAATAATGCCCGATTATAAGATTATAAAACTGTACAAGTAGTACACACACAAAAGTATGAATACATGAACATCAGTTGAACAATCGTCGAAGAAACAACATTGAACTGGCTGGACCTGGATGTGGAATTTCTACTGCCCCCGAGATACCACTGGTGACGGTGTAATAATATTGTTTTTCTTACCTTATTGTGGTTGGCCACTAGACAGTGTTCACAAACATTAACCCGATGTTCAAAACAGAACAAATTCGTTACTTTTCTTTCGGGCATTTACACAACCCCATGCTCCAAAGAACAGTACCAAAAAATTACAGAGATCTTCAATAATTTCTGTTACAGGAAGTTCAATGCTGCTTTTGATGCCACGTCACTCTGCGCATTGTTATGCGCATCTCGTTCGGAACGAGACTCCTCCCCCGCATCAGACGAGATCACATATGTCATTTCCGCTAATGTATCTGCCTCCGAGACGAATAAAATCGTTTGTGTTCTCGCAATATTTATTCATATTTGTAGCCACGTTTTACGGAATAATTTCTTTTTTGGATAACGTTGGACACAGGTAAGCCACTTGTAGTTGTTTGACTATTATCAGGTGTAATTCAGCGACTCTGTTCGACGGTTACCGGGACTCGGCAGATAGACTCGTTCATCCGTTCTGTTACGGGGAACTGAAAGCTCGGGCACAAGAGTTGACTGGAGAGTGTGTAGTCGTCTATAATCATGTACAATATAACATCTACGGAAATAAGACACTTCTTTGATATGCCATTCTTTTCCAAGTGTGGCACTTTAAATCGCTTGTTTTTATTACCCATAACGTTACGTACATTGGATTTCCAACATAGTGAAGACTAATCGACGATCTAGAGCGAGGAGCGAATATTAGCCGGGTATTTGATCTATGAGATATGGTTAGGTTAGTACGGTAACCGTGATGAGAGATAGCGGGGATGTAGCCTACAAATGACATAATGATATGTCAAACGTTACCTGTAAAAGTTAGGCTAATTTGTCGATTTTCCGATTTTTGTTTCTACTTGTTTCGTGTAGTATCTCAAGAAATGTTATAATATTTGAAAACAGAGAGAATGAATGATGTCATAATAATACCCCATTATATGTACCTGTACATTGACCTCAACTTCCTATCTCATCATATGTCACAGATTTCAAGTTAGCCTTCACAAGAATCAAATGACTGTTCATTACATTCCTCCCATCTCCAGCCAGTTTGTGTTGTGATTTACCAACACCAGCTAACATTTAAATTACAGTGTGTAATATATTATTATTTATAGTTTATTTAAAGGGCGATGGTCGTCGTTTCATGTTCTGGTTGATATGGGAATCATAGAGACGTATACAAAGCATTTACAAAAAATTTGAACATGCACTGTGCCATGACCATCGCCCTTTAAAGGGAAAACCAACTCTCTATTGTTGTTACATGTGTAGGCAAGTTTTTATAAGATAGGGGTATGCATCATTGATAACTATATATGATGCTATGCAATAAAATCCTATTCTGTGTGCATGTCCATCGAACGCATTACTGACCTATGGCATCACAGAACTTTGTGGACATTTGGAATGGTTTGTTTGTGAACATACAAAGTGAACAAGATTCAAAACACATCATTTCAATAAAAGCAAGCACATATACTCTCGCCCATCTCATTCTAGAAATTTTTGTCATGCGATTTCATGATCATCTGGCATTTTGTGTGATTCATCATCAATTCATGTGAGATCTTGATCGCACAGATGTCACACAACTTGGATTGCATACTCACATCTTATAAATTATTGGTGTACATGTCAGTGATTGTGCTAAAACAATGCAATTGAAGGAAACAGTGAAAAAAATATGAGCTCCCAACCTAACATTAATTTGATTAACTTAAGATTTGCTGTTTCTTGCTGTTCTTTCTTTCGATCATGTTTTTGATTTTTTTTTTCACTGTTGCCTTACAGTTCAGTTTAGTAGCTCAGCTACAATGTACATGTAGAGGTACCATGTTTCTTGAAAATAATATTCCATGTTTGCTCTATTAGAAGTGGTGAATACCTGCACTAATAACCAATGTCCACATATGTATAAACTATATGTAAACCAAAAATAATAGTCTTTTAGAAGTATACATTACCAATCTTGTTTTATATACTACTGGGGTATTTTGATATGTAGCATTTACGTAAGCACTTATACACTTCTAATAGAGCTACTATATTTCTTCTGAATCTTAGCAACCACATTCAATGTTTTGAAGTTTTAGGATTGCATAATTAATACAAAGTCACTAAAATATTTTCAACCATAATTTAATCGAAACTGATCTATGACATATTATAATTTGAATAGCTGCCATTCACTGCAATTAATTTTCACTGCTAGAAATTTTCACAATTTCAGAATTTTGTGATGAAAGTATTTTGTGAAAATCACCGACACATCATGTTGAAATTTAAGTAAACTTTGTACATTGATTGCATTCATTGTGTATTATATTTATAACACAGGTCAAGCACGGTTACCTTTTAATAACTGTGGGTCAAGTACCGGTAACTATTGTAGTTTGAAATTCAATGTTGCATTTAATTTGTTGTACAAGTCTTGAGATGAAGACAAGTCAGCTGGTGCATGTGTGTAAATTATTGGATCTCAGTCTGACTATACAAATGTTGTAACTGTGCAATATGTTTGTGGTATTTGTCATTAGCAAATATATGTGCAGTTTGTACCATGCATGATTTATAAGAATGCAGACATTAACCAGTGATTGATGCACTGTGTGAACCCACTAAATGTATTGCCAATCTGTAATTATGACTCATAGCTGAAGTAGACGACAAAGGAAGCTGCTAAGACTTGGCAGCATAAAATATTTTATCATGGTAATATTTGACATCTATACCTTAAATAAAGAATTAGATAGAAATAAATAGAAAGTCTATATTTGGTTGCAAAATTCAAAATGTTCTTTAGACATTTTGCAAATGGCTCACTCTAGTAATAGAATCTTTTTGCAGTGATATAAATATTGTAGATACCGCTAATTGCATTTATAAATGATATCTCTTCTGTAATTGCTTTCTGTGTTCAGGGCAATCTGTGTGCCAGGTCTTGGCCGCCACCCATGGATTGCATTTATTCCAGGGGCTAATTCTAGACGTTATACATGCACATGCAGAAATTTCCAGTGCTAACAATTTTGGTGCTAGAAATCAATATGCTATACATTTAATTTCATGGTTCATCATACAGGTTTAACAGTTGCATGCTAGTGTGGTACATGTACTACCGGTATTAATATTAACAATTCTTTGCAGTTGACTTTGATGTAAATTGAATTATGTGGAACATGATCTCACCTTTTGTACAGCTAAAATTTGTTTACCCTTTGCTACCTTCAAAGCTAAAATGTTAAAACAAATTATGAGTCATATTTGGTAATCTCCAGTGAGATGACACATTTATCGTGATGAATAATTTATTTTAACCTCTGTGATACAGATTGTACCGCTAAACTGTCCAAATGATTTTGTAGAATAAAAGTGGTCTGGTTATCGTTGCCATCAGTCTCTAATTATGACATCCTGACAGTCAGTTAACCTCTTTCTAGAGATCTTTCAAAATTAATGGGTGTTATGTCAAATATGGATATTGTAGGTTTGTTTACTGGCATAACTCTATGAATATGTCAGGGTTGGGTAAAAATATTTAAAAAATGTTTGTCCTATTTATTTGTACATACTACACTTGGTGCAGTGGTAGTACATGTATATGAATAGTAGTCATGTAGACCTTTGATCCATCAACCTTGAAATCTGCTTTAATTCAAGGAAAATTGCACATGTACATTTTTTGTGATTAAGGATTTACTACCACACTAAACCTACCTATTTTGAAATATTTTTATATCAGCCTTGCTTCTGAGTAATATATTTTTTTGTTTTTATACATCTGTTAGTGTATATTTTGTATTAGTTATGTCTATATCTGTATCATGCCTCATTACATGTATGAAATAAAAATTCCAACGACTGATGGCATATTATTTCCCAAAAATATGTGCATGTTTTTAAAAGAAATGCTTAGCAAAATATTATATTTTCCCACTTTTTTCTGTGTATACAATTTTTTGGTTTATATGCGCTTCTATTGGAGATGTGCTTGTAATAGAGTAAATATGGCATGTATACATAAAATACAGTGTATACAGCTTATTATTACATTAACTAAAAATAACAATCATTTTGAAACATACTTAGTAAAAAACTAATGTATGAATAAATCTCGATCGTACATCAGTTATCTCTCGCCAAATTTGATTTCTTGTCTGTTTCGTTGGACTCAAATTTGAAGATTAGATTCGTTAATGGAAACCATTTCCGTGGATTGACATTTGTAGTATTCCTAAAACACATACATCTTATGACTAATAATTATATGGCCCCTAGCAATGTGTTTAATAATGTGTAGGTTATTATGCAGTGTGCAAACTCTGTACATTTATATGTTTACCAGTTAATTACGACACATTATTTTTATCTATTGCTTTATATTGTATTATAAGACATTTTAATTTGATAACAATTGCCACTCATGTATTTCATGTATTCTTGATTTGACTTGTTTCACTGTCCGTGCTTGCTCTCAGCATTTGCGTTATATAGGGCTGCCATGTTTTGAAAGACTATCTTTATATGATACGGTGTTTTGTTTTTCAATTGCAAATATCAGGAGTTTAACCGAAAAGGTGTGCTCACTGTCTAATTCATTTTCCTAGTAATACATAGTTGATGTATAAATATCGCCTAAATGAATTACATTGTGCATACCATTGATTATTGAATTGTTGATAAAAAATTGCTGAATAATTAATGAATTGAATCGCCTGGTAGAGGAGGTGACTATTTTTAAATCATTGTGTTTTACACAGTAGAGACTAATTCAAAGTGTCTATTACCAAAAATATGTGTACCGGTATGTTGAATTATAATGTGTCATAATTTCACAATTCTACAGACAAATTGGTTGAAATGAAAAAAGAATTTACCCTTGTATATTATGCACACAAGTTTACCTTTTATTCAAAAATGAATGGAATACATATGTATTTTTGCATGCCAATACTTTGCCACTACATTCTCCCTCTAATAATTAATGTCAATTCAAACCTTGAATTTGATCTTATTTTAATAATTTCATCACAGTTTTCTTGTAATATTTATTCACATGTTATCAAATACTTCATAGCTTATAATTTATAGTTATTACAGCATGCAAATAGCTTGTTGAATCGCCACCAATTTCTTTCTTTTTTTGTTTTGTTTATTTCTATGATTTCAGGAGGTCACTGAAGGTGACGTAAACAGCACAGCAGAGTCTGTAAGTTCAACCCTCAGTTTCACCTTCTACTAAAAACAGTAGTAATAATTATAAACCAGTTTAACGTTACTAGATATCCTTGTCATCAATGTTTCTCCTTGCTGTAGTTCATATATAAGATGTTGTTCCTTGTACAGCAACTATCTGATTAACTATTAGTATTTGCGGTATATGCACTAATACAGTCTCCCCCCATAGATTAAAAGCACACAAATAATCTCTGTATTACTTACCCTGTATTATTTACTAATCTGTTTTTACTGTATTTCCCTTGTTAGAAGCACACCTCCCATTAAAAGTATAATCACTCTATACTTTCAAAGTTTCCATGAACCATGGTAATGACAATTCATGTCTTTTGATTTGAATTATTTACCTGTGACTTGGCTACATAGCACTGGACTTAGAATTACATATTCATAACTGAAAATAAGCATTTTTACTTGCTGTCCATATATATTTTGTAACCAAATTAAGATATCTGAAAACTTAATTATATGTGCTTCTAACAGAGGATCTACTGTAATCGCTACATATACATGTATGTAGGGTATTTGCCAGTGGAGTTATATGCTAATTAACATACAATGTCTGAGTCTGGGTCAGGTGATTTGGTATAGGAGAGATTGTTGACAAACAAGTCATATTGCTTAGAATATGCCTGCGTGATGACTTGTGTGTGAACATTGCGCTTTGTTGTTATTAACATACCACACATACATACATATATGTATAGCTGGGTTGATGTATTGGTGTAAGTCTAGCTTCTTTCTGCTGCATACCAATAGTCTGGTTTCTCCACTTGGCAGCACTTACTGGTGTATGGTTTCTACTAAGGATTTAGGGGTGGTAGCACTTTAGTCATTTATCTTGCATCTAAAGGTTTTTTGACAATTTCTTTTTTACCTCTGTTACCTGTTTTCCCTTGATTTTGACATGTTATATTGCATGTACTTTACTTACAGCTTATGGTACTTTTTTTTTGTTTGTGTTGCTTATTTTTAACCATCTATTACTATTTACCTATCTAGTTCTGATCTAGTATTTATCTAATAATTTGCTGTATATGTACATTTTACATGCAATTGTTATACATGTATCTATATGTGTTCTACGTTTACCTCTCTGCACCTATTCAAAACAATGAAACTATTCATGAATTTGATCACCACTACATGTATGTTGCATCTAATAGCCAATTCAAAACTAATATTTTTTCAAAATCACATTTATTTGCATGAGTATTACATGTACATAATTTGGGCTTAGAAATATTTGCTCTATTAGAAGTGTATTTGATTACACAAGGTTTGTTCCTACCTAAATTATGTATTTATCTCTAATTTCTCATTGGCTACAGGTTATGATAAAATATTTCCAAAAATATGGGAAATAATTGTGGAGGTTTAGCTTAAGAAAGGTGACAACAATTGAATTTGAGACTCCAAAGGTTAATGTTTAAGTATGACACTTCTATTTAGCAAATACAATTATGAATAGATATGAAGTCTACACATTTTATCCTAGTGCTCTTCTTGTTCACTGTATGTGTTAGTTATTCATTCTCATTAACTTCATACATCTAAGTTGATACGTGTAGCATTTATTTACCTGTAGGGCCCCACTGCAATGTACATGTAGCTGCTTTTCAGTCCCTGTGTATTTTATTATACTATACATGAAGTACTTTTATCATGATATCATAGAATCTTTTTTGCTGAATAGTTTAGTTCTGCTATAATCTGTCAAATTTGAACTGTCTCCTCCTTCCTTTGTCTGAAATCATCTGATTTGGGAATTTTGGCTAATTTGCACAATTCTATAAACTAACTGTGGCCAATATGACAGCATATTACCAATACTAATATCACTAACATTGATTTGTTACTGAGTTATAAATATGTGCATACTTGCGCATACAAAGAGAATCTGTATGTTTATTATTTTGTTACTAACTGAATAAGATCACATGTGTTTTGTATCAGCCATGTTTCCTATTACTGCTGGTACACACCATGTTTACCAATACAAACTTCTACACAATGTGAATTAACTACCCTAAGCCTTAGTGTTATGTGTCATGGCCAACTAGAATTGACCATTGTCTCCAGACACAAAAACAAGATATTTGCATGGTAATATGCTCTCACATGATTGTGTTGTGGTTCTTTCATTTGATTCTTGCAAATATATTTAACTGAATCCCTATGGTGTATATGGTTAGACTTAGCTGCAGACATTTTTTTTACTTCATGCAGTATATGAACTGTTCAGAAACTTGACATTGATCTTGTCTCCAATTAGGTGTCATCCTGGGTAGTACACAGAGTTCAACTAACGACCCAGGTGAACCTGTAAATCAGGTCGTCATGGAGCTGTCTCACAGCCTTCTGCTCAACGAGGAGGCCCTTCTACAGATAGCAGCTTCCAAGAAGCCTGTCTTCATCTTTGAGTGGCTCAGATTCTTGGACAAAGTCCTAGTAGCAGCACAGAAAGTAAGTGATATTTGTTATATATTTGGATGTGCTGTTTTGCATAATTCTTCAAGTGTTTCTGTTAACAGTATTTTTGAGATTGCAATCTTCAAAGAGGTGTCCATTTTTTCTTGGGGGCTGTGCAGATGGCAATTGGCATCCTCAAAGTGGGTGGAATAGTTTCAAGCATCTTGTCATGGATGTTGAAGGGTTTAATTTTGGAATATTGACAGTGTATTTGCTCTAATAGAAGTGCATGTATTATGTAGTGCTGGATTCTTAAAATATGACTTATTTTGACTGTAAACACATCTCATTAATGTCATTTATGTATACTGTAAAATGTCTAATTTTTATTGGGTTTAAATTTTGCTGATTTACCATTTCAGGCATACCCAGTGGATTTTAATTTAAATTCACGGTTTTATCATTTAGATAATGTGTTCTATGCTAAATTTTACATATTCACTGGGTTTTAATTTAGCGCATTTTTCAGTCAGCGAAATAAGCAAAATTAAAATATCCAGGGAATAATTAACCCTTTTACAGTAAGCACATGT